TGGGTGGGCACGTGGGTGTTTTTTATATTAGTCTTTATCCTTTTTGCATAACCTAAAATTTGCCTTTTTTATTTTGAGAGCCTGGGACAGCACCTTACATAAGAGGAATAACCACAACCAAACTTGGAAGCTTTACCTGTGCCTAACCTAGGCTCCTTGGAGAAGCAGAGGCAAGGCAAGGCAAAGGCACACACACTGTTTCGGGAAGTGACCCCACGAAACAAGAGTGGAGGCCTGGGAACAGTGGCACTGGGAAGGAGGGCAAGCCCATTCTCTGTCCTTCCAGGTCGTATTTTCAAGCTTGTCACCTCTGTGGGCAACTGGGGCTTGATCTGCTGGGGAGCCATTAAGAACCCACCTGAGAATTGTTGGATTCATTGTCAGAACACTGGGCAACATAGCAAGATCTTGTCTCTTAAAAAAAAAAAAAAATCAGGCCGGGCACAGTGGCTCGTGCCCGTAATATCAGCACTTTGGGAGGCTGACATGGGCAGATCACTTGAAGTTGGGAGTTTGGGACCAGCTTGGCCAACATGGAGAAACTCTGTCTCTACTAAAAACACAAAAATTAGCTGGGTGTGGTGGCATGTACCTGTAGTCCCAGCATTTTGGGAGACCAAGGCAGAAAGATCATCTGAGGTCAGGAGTTTGAGACCAGCCTGGTCAACAGGTGAAACCCTGTCTTCACTAAAAATACAAAAAAATTAGCCGAGCATGGTGGCGGATGCCTGTAATCCTAGCTACTTGGGAGGCTGAGGTGGGAGGATCACTTGAATCCGGGAGGCAGAGGTTGCAGTGAGCTGAGACTGCACCACTGCGCTCCAGCCTGGGTGACAGAGTGAGACTCCATCTCAAAAATAATAATAATAAATAAATAAACAAAAATGAAAACTTAGCCGATGTGCTGGTGCATGCCTGTAGTCCCAGCTACTTGAGAGGCTGAGGAAGGAGGATTGGTTGAACCCAGGAGGTCAAGGCTGCAGTGACCTATGATCACACCACCACATTCCAGCCTGGGTGACAGAGCAAGATCCTGTCGCTTTTTAAAAAGACAGAGAAAAAAAAAATATTGGGGTTAAAAACAAACAAGCAAATACAATCACATTGGGACAAATCCAAATCTGTCAAAGAAAAATGAAGCACTAAGCCTGCCGCACTCCTGATGGAGCGACTGACTAGCAGAGCACAGGCATGAAATTAACAACCCTACAGCTGAGAAATATACATTGAAAGGTAAGTCCTTTTCTCCACCTATTTTTCTTACAGTTTGTTTTCCTATGATTTATTATCCCCCCAACACTATTAAGAAATACTGATAAAAACATAGAGCCAAACCTAACAATCTAGAGCAAAGATTTACCTTTACATGATAACAGCACTGTGTTATTTATTCAACTATTTGGAAGAATGTAAAAGCTTACTCCAATAGTTAGAAGCTTATGAAGACAAAAACGTTTTCAAGTTAGGAACAAAAATTTTTTTTATAGAGATGGGGTCCTGCTATGTTGGCCAGGCTGGTCTCAAACTCCTGGGTTCAAGCAATCCACCTGCCTCAGCCTCCCAAACTGCTGGGACTATGGATGTGAGCCACTGCGCCCAGCCAGAAATTATTTTTTGAAATTAAAGTGTTTCATTGCAATCAGGATTATTCTGCCTATAATCCAACAAAAGCAACTGTTTTATTTTTTGCACATTCATAGATAACCTGAATAAACAGGTGATTTCAGGAGAAACTACAACAAAATAAGACACTGGTAGAAGAAAAATGTAAAGGAAACATTTGATTCTGCCCATATTTTTAAAAATATTTCTTTAATAGAAACGGGGTCTCACTGTGTTGCCCAGGCTGGTCTCAAACTCCTGGCCTCAAGCAATCCTCTTGCCTTGGCCTCCCAAAGTGCTGGAATTACAAGCATAAGCCAACATGCCTGGCTTGATTCTGTCCATATTTTATATCCAATTGATGATCTATAGATAACTATAATATAAACATTTTATATTTAGTCATTTCAGATATTACTGTTAAAGTTATTCAATACAATTTATAGGAAGTTCACTGAACTGCTGTTATTAGAATTTCTGCTGGGATGATTTCCAGTATAAATTTAGGTTAGATATAATCCCCAAATGGTTTAAAAACTGAACTGAAACCCAACAAGGACTCACCCTTTTTGCAGGTTAAAAATTTCCCAGGCTACAGTTAAAAAGAAAAGGTAGAAATAGAAAAGACTGTGAGGTTTCTTGAGAGAATTCCTATGTATATAATTTTAATATAAATTGGCAATTCATCTGGTTTTTTACAACAATAAACAACAAGGTTAACTTATTTGTAACATAAAAACTTACAGCTCTTAGAAAGCATGAGAAAACTCAAAAGGATGATTTCAAAATGTCTAAATTATGCCTGGACTTGGGAGAGCAAACAGCGTTTGTAAATGAAACAACCCTGAAAGACACAAAGCTGGTGACTGCTGCCTCTCCCCTGCTCCACTTCCGGGTGGGTCATCTCCAGGTGGGTGCACTCCGAGAGCTCCCTGCTCTGCCCTCTTCTCCCATCGCGCCACCATCCACGTGCTGCGGGCTCAGCTTCCTGACATGGAGCTCTGATGGCCGCTCTGTGCTCACAAAACCTCCAATGGTTTCCCACAAAAGGGCAAGCTCTGGGTTGTGCTGGGCAGCCCCATACTTACTCTTCTGGCCCGATTTTTCTGACTCTGGCCACATATCAGCTATGTGCTAAGCACACAGAATGGCTCACTACTCCCGAAATGGCCCACCCTCTCCCGATTCAGCTCTTTTCTCATTTTGTTCCCTGTGGCCAAAATTTCCTTTCCCTTCCCTGCTAAAATCCTACCCAGCTCTCACAGCCCTTCTCCAATGCCACCTCCCTGTGAGATCTTTTATTCCAACTCGCTGTGATCCTTCCTCCCTTCTTACCTCAACACACTTTTTAAATTATTATTACTTTTTTATTTTATGGAGATAGGGTCTCACTATATTGCCCAGGCTGGTCATGAACCCCTGGGCTCAAGTGATCTGCCCGCTATAGCCTCCCAAAATGCTGGGATTACAGGCATGAGCCACCGTGCCTGACCCTATACTTTCAAGTGTTTCTTTCTTTCTTTTTTTTTTTCTTTGAGACTGAGTCTCACTCTGTTGCCCAGGCTGGGGTGCAGCGGCGTGATCTTGGCTCACTGCAACCTCTGCTTCCCAGGTTCAAGCAATTCTCCTGTCTCAGCCTCCAGAGTAGCTGGGATTACAGACACCTGTCAACATGCCCAGATAATTTTTGTAATTTTTTTTTTTTTTTGAGATGGAGTCTCGCTCTGTCACCCAGGCTGGAGTGCAGTGGCGCGATCTTGGCTCACTGCAAGCTCTGCCTCCCAGATTCATGCCATTCTCCTGCCTCAGCCTCCCGAGTAGCTGGGACTACAGGCACCCGCCACCTCGCCTGGCTAGTTTTTTGTATTTTTTAGCAGAGACAGGGTTTCACCGTGTTAGCCAGAATGGTCTCCATCTCCTGACCTCGTGATCCGCCTGTCTCGGCCTCCCAAAGTGCTGGGATTACCGGCTTGAGCCACCGCGCCTGGCCAATTTTGGTATTTTTAGTAGAGACGGGGTTTCAGCATGTTGGTCAGGCTGGTCTGGAACTCCTGACCTTGTGATCCGCCTGCCTTGGCCTCCCAAAGTACTGGGACTACAGGCGTGAGCGACCATGCCCGGCCACTTTCAAGTGTTTCTAAAGGCACTAAGATTCCATTTGATATCAGAATTACTTGCCATCCCTGTGGCCTGGACCTGATTTTGCTGCAGGGCTGGACACCATGAGACAGAAGCTGCATGACTCACGCTCTATCCCCTGAAGCCACTGGCACCAGTGCCTGGCACATTGTAGGCATTCAAGTATGTCCTGAGTTACACGGTATCGAAGTACTGCTCCAAGAAAGCCACTGGAAGGGAAATATTTTGGGTGCATCGGCTGAAAACTAAAGGGCCAGCGATAGCGTTTTGAGAAAAAGCCCCAGAACATGGAAAACACATCCCAGTGGCAGAGCTATTTTACTTTTGTGGGACTAAGACCTATAGCCTTTTGTGAGGTCATGAGGGGGAAAAACAAAATACACACACACATACACACACACACACACTCTTTCTAGGTAAATAATAAATGAACTAAAGGAATCTTTAAAATAAGCTCAATCATTTTCCCCAGTTGTAGAAACTAATACAAGAAACGTGAACAATTTTGTTACGACAAAATCATAAATAGTCCTAACAGGTTTTAGGTAAATCAGCCCCAGGAAAAAGCTGAATTCCTTCTTTTGTGAATGCACTCCCAAGTAACAGGAAGCCCGGCTAAAGATCTCCAGGTTTTCTTTAATTACAGTCTCTGAAAATGAATAAGTGAATAAATAAGTAAATGGATTGAATAAGACTTGACTCAGAGTTCACTAAATGCCAGTGCTTCTCAAAGTGTCTATGGAGAAGGACTGGTTTTGAAACATTTGCTATCTGCTGCAGACTGATACGCTTCTAAAAATACAATAAAAATTCTGCGCCAACATCTATAAGTGGACATACATTTTCTCTTTTTTTTTTGAGATGGAGTCTCGCTCTGTACACTAGGCTTAAGAGCAGTGGCATGGTCTTGGCTCACTGCAACCTCTGCCTCCCAGGTTCAAGTGATTCTCCTGCCTCAGCCCTGCGAGTAGCTGGGATTACAGGTGTGCGCCATCACACCTGGCTAGGTTTTGCATTTTTAGTAGAGACAGGGCTTCTACATGTTGCCCAGGCTCGTCTCGAACTCCTGACCTCAGGTGATCTGCCCGCCTCAGCCCCCCAAAGTGTTGGGATTACAGGTGTGAGCCAATGCACCCGGCCTAAAAGTGGACATACATTTTCTATACTTAATTTGTCAGGGACCAGTCATGTCCTGTTTCCCCAAATCCACACACATTCAACATGCTACAAATGCAGGCAAAGGGAGGATAGATGCCTACCTTCTCCTCTCGTGCCTCAAACACGGCTTCATGGACGCTGCAAGCAAAAAGTGAGGTAGGCAGATCACTTAAATCCATCATCTCATCCAAATCATCTTCATTTTCACCAAAAATCATCTCTTCTTCCTCTTCTTGGTCAGTGCTACACAGATCTGACTGGCTATCATTCCAAGATTTCATAGTGTCTCTCAGCATTATCCCCCAAAGTGGGCCTTTTCCGTCTGTATAGTCCTAGGATCAGGCACCCACTGTTAAAAAAAAATGAAAACGCAGAGGTAAAACTCTGAAGGCCAAATAATGTTCCAATCAATCAATGTCTCCAGGCTGCAATTCATCAAATGAAGGAATCTTATTTAGAAAGATAAATCAGTATTTAAATCAAAGCATTTCAGTCCTCATAAGTGAATTCTAGATACGCTAATTTGATTTGCTTAGAATATTTTATGTAACATATTTCACTGGCAATGATTTATTAAGAAAAAAAGGCAAAACGTTTTCTAGTGAACTTATGGAAAAAAGGGTAATATAAAATGAGATCATATCAATATGTACTCCAGTTTATAAGCAGTAGAAAGAAAAATGTGAACCAGAAGAGCCTCCACATATTTGTTTGGGGTTTTCCATCTACAACAGTGTAACTGGCACAGCCAAATACAACCCACACTAATTCTCTCACCATCTGCACCCTGAAATATGGTCTGTGATGAGCTGACTCTACCTCTCCTAACCAATTTGTTCTCTTTGAATACACTTGAAAGAATTAAGTTACACAGAATCAAAAGCTGTCTATAAATTCAGTCTTTGTTAATATCTAAAATATTTGCAGTAGGCAAAATTTAACACAGAAAATCAAAAAGAGAGCCAGGTGCGGTGGCTCATGCCTATAATCCCAGCACTTTTTTTTTTTTTTTTTTTGAGATGGAGTCGTGTTGTGTTGCCCAGGCTGGAGTGCAGTGGCTCGATCTCAGCTTACTGCAACCTCCACCTCCTGGGTTCAAGCAATCCTCATGCCTCAGCCTCCACTACAGGCGTGTACCACCATGCCTGGCTAATTTTTTGTATTTTTTGGTAGAGATGGGATTTCACCATGTTGGCCAGGCTGGTCTCCAACTCCTGACCTCAGGTGATCTGCAGACCTCGGCCTCCCAAAGTGCTGGGATTACGGGTGAGAGCCACCACGCCTGGCCAATCCCAGCACTTTGGGAGGCTGAGGCAGGGATCAAAGGATCACTTGAGCTCAGGAGTTCAAGACCAGCCTGGCAACATAGTGAGACCTTGCCTCTACAAAAAATTTAAAAAAATAAAAAGATGTCATTTTTCTGAACTTTCTTTGAGATGGAGTCTTGCTCTGTCGCCCAGGCTGGAGTGCAGTGGCACAATCTCGGCTCACTGCAAGCTCCGCCTCCCGGGTTCACACCATTCTCCTGCCTCAGCCTCCCAAGTAGTTGGGACTATAGGCACCTGCCACCATGCCCAGCTAATTTTTTGTATTTTTAGTAGAGACAGGGTTTCACCGTGTTAGCCAAGATGGTCTCCATTTCCAGACCTCATGATCCGCCCGCCTCGGCCTTCCAAAGTGCTGGGATTACAAGCATGAGCCACTGCGCCCAGCCCCTTTTTCTGAACTTTAAAAAATAACCAATTTTAAGACAAATGTCTGAAGCTGACAGTGTCGCTGAGTGGAATAACAGGACAGAATCTGTCTCTCATAGACTGTTTCTGTGCATGTCTGCCTCTTCCAATGAATTGCACATCACATCCACCGAGCACAGAGTCTTGGACATGACACGTTTCAAGATGTAGGGGCAGAATTTAAGAAATACGTAGCAGGCACAGACAAACTAAGTGATTATGATTACTACCTCAATACCACCTGATTTGTGATTTTTCACGTTTATTTCAAAGAACAGAAGGTCACAAATACATTGCTTATACACAGTACAATATAGAATGGTAATTATAGAATAAAAATAGTGAGGTTTTTTGGTATTCTATAACACTAATCAAGACTACTTCTAAGAAGTAAAATCTTTACTCATTTGTATACACATTTTCTGAGTGCCTACTGCTTGGTGTTGGGGAGTGAAGAAAACATGGTTCCTACCCTCAAGGCACTCCCAGCAAAGCCAGCATTTCTCCTCCTCAACAATGGTAAGCACCCATTCTCCTAAAGAACTTCATTCCATCAGCTGTCAGCTGTACTTAATTTTTTTTTTTTTTTTTTTTTGAGACAGAATTTTATCCTGCCACCCAGGCTGGAGTGCAGTAGTGCAATCTTGGCTCACTGCAACCACCGCCTCGCAGGTTCAAGCCATTCTCCTGCCTCAGCCTCCCAAGTAGCTGGGACTACAGGCATGCACCACCATGCCCAGCTAATTTTTGTATTTTTAGTAGAGACGGGGTTTCACCATGTTGGCCAGGCTGGTCTCAAACTCCTGACCTTAAGTTATTGGCCCACCTCGGCCTCCCAAACTGTCAGCTATACTTTCAATTCCTCCTTCTCCACTTGTTCCTCTTCCTCGGCAAACATATGTGTTCCCATAAGCCCTACCATCTGGATTCTACCCTCCCTTCACACTGGTCCTAATTCTCCTTCACCTTCCTACCAGCTCCTGGGAAATGTGGTATCTTCTTGCCGCGCTCCCTCTGCTCTAGTCACTCCTGAATTAGGTGCAGTTTGGCCTCCGCACTACCTTTCGACTGCAGCTGCCCTCCTCATGGACGGCAAAGGCTTCCCAACAGGCATCCACATTTTATCACGCGTCACTGTATCACACAGAACTGCATTTTTTCCAAAGTGAAGGCTTGTGACAACCCTGCATTGAGCAAGTCTATCAGTGCCATTTTCAAACAGGATGTGCTCACTTCATGTTTGACATGTTCTGGTAATTCTCACAATATTTCAGACCTTTTCATTATTATTGTATCTGTCATGGTGATCTGTGGTCAGTGATCTTTGATGTTACCATTGTAATTGTTTTGGGGCACCATGAACCGCACCCTTATAAGACGGCAAACTTAATCAATACATGTTGTGGGTGTTCTTAATCAATACACATGGGTGTTCTTAATCAATGAATACATGTAGGTGTCCTTAACCAATACATGTTGTGGGTGTTTTGTTTTGAGACGGAGTCTCACTCTGTCGCCAGGCTGGGGTGCAATGGGGTGATCTTGGCTCACTGCAACCTCCACCTCCCGGGTTCAAGAGATTCTCCTGCCTCAGCCTCCCGAGTAGCTGGGACTACAGGTGTACGCCACCACACCCAGCTAATTTTTTGTATTTTTAATAGAGACAGGGTTTCACCATATTGGCCAGGATGGCCTCGATCTCTTGACCTTGTGATCTGCCCACCTCGGCTCCCAAAGTGCTGGGATTACAGGCGTGAGCCACGGTACCTGGCTGTGGGTGTTCTTAATCAGTATGTGTTGTGGGTGTTCTAACTGCTCCACTGACTGGGGCCATTCCCCCGACTCTCTCCCTCTCCTCGAGCCTCCCCACTCCCTGAGACACGACAATACTGAAATTAGGCCAACTGATAACCCTTCAATGGCCTCTAAGTGTTCAAGTGAAAGGAAGCTTCGTGAGTCTCTCATTTCAAATCAAAAGTCAGCAACGATGAAGCCTCCTGAGGAAGATTCGTCCCGAGACGCTGAAAGCTAAGTCTCTTGACCAATCAGTCAAGTCGTGAATGCAAAGGAAAAGTTCCAAAGGATATTGAAAGTGCTACTCCAGTGAACACACAAATGTTAAAAAGACAAAAACAGCCTTAAAATGATATGGAAAGTCTGAGTAATCTAGATAGAAGATCAAACCAGCCACAACATTCCCTTAAACCAAAGTCTAATCCAGTGCAAGGCCCTAACTCTCTTCACTTCTATGAAGGCTGAGAGAGCTGAGGAAGCTGCAGAAGAAAAGTCTGAAGCTAGCAGAGGTTGGTTTATGAGGCTGAAGGAAAGAAACTATCTCTGTAACATAGAAGTGCAAGGCGAAGCAGCAAGTGCTGATGTGGAAGCTGCAGCAAGTTCTCCAGCAGATATAGCTAAGGTCACTGATGAAGGTGGCCACACTCAACAGATTTTCAATACAGACAAAATAGCCTTCTATTGGAAGAAGATGCATCTAGGACTTTCATAGCTAGAAGTCAATGCCTGGCTTCAAAGCCTCGAAGAACAGGCTGACTCTTTTGTTAGGGGCTAACATAGCTGGTGACTATAAGTTAAAGCCAATGCTCATTCACCATTCTAAAAATCCTACAGCCCTTAAGAACTGTGCTAAATCTACACTGCCTGTGCTCTATGAACGGAATAATACAGCCTGGATGACCGCACATCTGTTTACAGTATGGTTTCCTGTATGTTTTAAGCCCATTCTTGAGACCTACTGCTAAGAAAAAAAAAAGAGAGATTCCTTTCAAAATATTACTGCTCGTTGACAATGCACTTGGTCACCCAGGAGCTCTGACAGAAATACACAGGGAGATTTCTTTTCCTGTCTGCTAACACAATATCCATTCTGCGGCCCATGGATCAAGAACTAACTCTGACTTTCAAGTCTTACTATTTTAAGAAATACATTTCATAAGCATACAGCTGCCAGAGACGGCAATTCCTCAGATGGATCTGGGCAAAGTAAATGGAAAACTTTCTGGAAAGAAGTCACCATTCTAGATGCCATTCAGAACATTCGTGATTTACGGGAGGAGGTCAAAATTGCAACATCATCAAGAGTTGGGAAGAAGTTGATTTCAACCCTCATGGATGACTCTGAGGTGTTCAAGACATCAGTGGAGAAAATAACTGCAGATGTGGTGGAAATACCAAGAGAACTAGAATTAGAAGTGGAGCCTAAAGATGTGACTGAATTCCTGCAATCTCAAACAAAACTTGAATGGATGGGAGTTGGCTTCCTGTGAATGAGCAAAGAAGGCAGCCGCCTGAGATAAAATCTACTCCTGGGGAAGATATTGTAAACATCATTGAAATGGCAACAAAGGATTTACAATATTCCATAAACTTAGTTGATAAAGCAATGGCAGGGATTAGAGGATTGGCTGCAAATTTGAAAGAACTTCTATTGTAGGTAAAATGCTATCAAACAGCATCACATACTACAGAGAAATCTGTCATGAAATGCTGTTGTCTTATTTTAATAATTGCCACAGCCACCCCAAACTACAGCATCACCACCCTGATCAGTTAGCAGCCATCAACCTCAAGGCAAGACCTTCCACCAACAAAAAGATTA